AATTTCACGTTTCATTTAAAAAGTATTTTGTTCAAGAGTTTCTTTCCCGTACTTGCCTGTCTGGTCTCCTGCGTGCGTGTAGAAATTTGGTGACGGGGATTTCTCCCCCAGGCGATTTACAATGTGTTACCTGGCCACAGACAGCTTCAAAAAAGGATTCAACATCTCCAGCAGTGCCAGAAATTTCTAGAATTATTTTCAAGTATTGCAAATCAGAAAGCTTAGGGTTAGATGTAATTCCTCCAGGTTTGTAAGTTGTTATCTTGCTAATGGAAGGTAAATGGAAATGTTCAGCAATGATGGTATAAGGAGGAAAGAAAATTGTTTTAATTTTTTTTTTTTTATAGTGCTTTTTTGCAATGGGAGAGATGGCTTTTGGTTCTAAGATTCATCAAATCCAATTTCTTTCTCTGGCAAAGCCAGACTGTTTTCGTGACGTGGCAGACTCTTGCGAGTTTCTGGTGTCTTGCTGTAAGATAAAAGAGCTTTCAGACACACAAGCCCTGATTGTGTAATTGAATCTCCTTGGGAAGAGCTCCAGGGAATTGTTGCACAGACCAGCGGGGCTTTGCATGGCAACAGAGATCTGGGCAGATCTGATTGCCACATCTTCACCCTAGACTCCTTCACCTCTTCTGATTTGCCTGTGAAATCAGGCAGTGCTTCCAGATTTCTGGCTGTTGATTTATGAGTATTTCTAAATTATCACAGTTGAGTAAGCATCATGATCTGGGAGACTTAATGCTGACTCCTTCTCGTTGCTGCTTAATTGAAATGCTTTTTATGTTGATGTAGAGCAAGGAGACCATCAGCAGGACTATAGAACAGTCTTGTACAATTTCTAAGCAAAGGCTGCCAGCCTGCCTTTGAAGAACACTTATTTAAAATGTCAGTTTTTCAGATTGTTCAGTGGCACGGGAATGTGCGACTTTAATACCTGCAGAAAAATGCTTTCTTGATGCCTCTGAAGTTCACTGTACGTCCCCAGGAAAGGTAAGATTAATGTGTCTTAGGGCAGAAGAGAAATTGGAAGCTTAACTTCTCTGAAAATGAAACCGTGCACTCAGCCCTTAATGCTGCTGCTGTGGGTGCTTGGTCCCGATGGGTTTGGTCAGGGGGAGCCGTCTCCTGTGACCTGCTCTGAAACGCTCTGATTTAACACAGACCACTAAGCAGTCACCAGGGAGCAATTTTTGAAACTAACTAAGCAGAGTTGGATTCAAACCAGTGAGCTTCCTAATAATAAAAGGTACGAGAATGTTGTACCAGTAAATTAATTTTTAAAAGGAGAACTGGAAGGACAGTCCTACCTAGACGCACAGGAATTGTCCTGGAAACACTACACTTCCTTTTAGAGATTAAGGATGCCACTTTACCGTATCACATTAAATTCCTTTTACCTTTTTACACCATTTTGGACTACTTCAGCCTGGGAAAACATTGCTTCTCCAGTAATCTTGTTTCTTTCCTACTTACACTCACTTAAAAATTATTCTGACTTGAGAGAGAACCTCACTTCCCACTTATTTATCATTAACGGTTTCTCTGATTCGTGTGGCACCACCAGATGAGGGGAGCAGTAGGTGAGACCCACCTGGATCACCACCAAACCCAGCCTGGCTGGGGCTCGTAAGGGTGCGCAGGCTGTCCGTGCTGAAGTCCAGCCTGCTCCTTTAATAACTGTTATTTTAGCATGTGATTGAAAATCACAGAAAGCATCTAAGAAATGTAGCTTTCCTAGCTCTCTTGTCCTTTTCCTTCTCTCTTGCTGATTTGTTCCAGTCTAAAAGGATTGACCCCAAATGTGTGGGTGTGCTGACCTGGCCCTTCTGCTGAGGACTGTAATTAGCACGGTCACCACATTGTCCTTTTTGTTCCGAAGAAGAGGGCTATTGGGTTGTACGTGTGGCTGCCCTCTCACCTCGGGTAAATTCCTGAGCCATAAGCACATTTCAGTCAAACATGGCAGGAGCAGCAGCCTTCAACTTGTTCTTTTGAATGAGTTAGGGGACAGCGAGAGAGAGAGACCTGCTGCGATGGGATGAGGCGCGAGCTCTCCCTGCCAGACATCAGCAAGTCGAGCTGTAGATGAGGGCCGGGTCTGTGGCGTGGCTCACGGGGCAGCTGGTAGAAAAGAAGCCAGGTCAGGACCAGCTCTACCTCATCACTCTGAACAAGCCACCAGAGAGTAACTCCTCATTCTTGTAGCCCGAGCTGGATTTTTCCTGGAACACTGAAGGTGAGAAGCTTTACGATGCACTCGTGTGAAGCATCACCTCGCTCTCTGAAGTGCTGGCCTGTTACGCTCGGGCTGCCTGGACAATTGTGCACGGATAAAAGCACGGGCATTGCTAATTGTCCTCCTGTCTCTTGCAGGCTAAGGTAGCCACCATCTATGAATCACCTGGCTTCTTTCTAGAGTTGGATCCAATTCCAGGAGCCCTTGAAGCCATGCAGGAGATGATCCACATGCAGGAGTAAGGACACTTGGCACTCTGCAGCATTTTTCCCATCATCTCACACACTTTCTCCTGACTGCTAATGAACGCTGTTTCTTTTCAGCACCGACGTCTTTATTTGCACAAGTCCTCTCCGGAAATACGAGCACTGCATTGTGGAAAAGGTGGGAGAGAATTTATTTTACTGGTTCTAATGCTGTTTTTGCAAGGGCTTGCTATTTCATACCACTCAATGTCATTCATTTCCTTAATGTCATTAATTTGTAAAGGCAGTAGCTGGCGCAGGCTGCCAGGCTTCCCTGTGAACCCTGTCTGAGGAGGAGCTTCCCAGACACAGTGATAGCGCAGGACAGGGAATCTCAGAGTGCCTCGTGATGCCAGGTGATGGCAAAGGAACTGTTGAGGCACAGGATGTGATATTCCCAGCGGATTCTATGCTTGGAGGCTCCTCAGCTGACAAGACCTTGTTCTGTATAAATCCAGAGCCTGAGATAGCCAGCTATCCTGAAAGAGGCCAGTGCTGAATTAGGAGGAGGCTAGAGCGTTGGAATTGGTCCCCTTGCCCCTGGCACAAGAACAGAGCGGGGGGAACCTTAATCGCTGCAATTACTTAGATGGGCACAATCTGCGTGTTCTGGGCGAGCAGCCAGCGCCGCTCAGCAAACTCGGTGACAGTTAGGCGCATCAAACACAGCGCTGACGGAAGAGTACGGGTTAATGGGGTGTCCTGGCCCCCAGCCAGTCTCTGTGGTGGGGATTCAGAGACAGGTTTATTGCTGCATTAGGGCTGATCTGACCCAAGCAAGGTGCAAACTGAAAGTACGGCGTGATTTTCTCCCACCTTACTTCTTGCCTCTGCAGTACAAGTGGGTAGAGAAACATTTGGGACCCGAGTTTGTGGAGCGGATTATTCTAACCCGAGACAAGACCGTCGTATCTGCTGACTTGCTGTTTGATGACAAGGATACCATTAGAGGTTTGGAAAGCGTTTGCGTTGCTTGCTGTTAGCTGGGGAGGACCCCCCCGCCCCCCCAAGCTGACTCCAGCTTTTCCTCCCTTGACCTCCTCAGGCGCGAACCCCAACCCGAGCTGGGAGCACGTCCTGTTTACCTGCTGCCACAACAGGCACGTCCAGCTGCAGGCCCCGCGGCGGCGGCTGCTCTCCTGGGCGGATGACTGGAGGTCCATTTTGGAAAGCAAGCGCCGGCAGTAACGTGAAAAGCGGGTGCTGTGCTCTTCCCACTGCCAGGGCAACAACCAACCCGATGGAAACCCATTCGCAGGAGGCAGCAAGCGCCATCGCCAGGGCAGGGGCACCACAGGGGTCGGTTATAGTAAGGAATGAGCTGCCCTTGTTAGACATGCTGCAGAGCTGACTCCGTGTTTCTGGAAGGTTGCTCTGCATTCAGTTAGTTAATCTCTGCAGAGTTTTGGATGCTTGCTGTTGGAGAAGGGAAACTGAAATACAAGCAGTTGTGGGTTGGTGGTTGTGTTGTCTTTTTTTCTTGTGTGCATGTGCCTTTAACCTCACTCCTGTTTGTTATGGGCTGACTGTGGGTGGAGTTGCAAAAAAAAGAGGACGCCAAGCTCTGAAACTTGAGCAGACAAGGTGTGGGTGTCTGTCTGGGAGCACTGTGCACAACAGCCAAACCCTTTTACATTTTATGTATTTAGCCACCCTGGCTTTGGGGTTGCCTTTTGCATCATTGGCTGATAATTAAAGGAGACCAAGCTGGTTTCAGTTTCTAGCCCATGTGCACAAGTAAAGGTGGGTGAAGGCTGAGCTGCAAGTGCTGTAGAAAAATATTTATGAGCTTACACAAAACTGTTTACATAGCATTTAAGTTAATGTTTTATTAAGAGAAGGTTTTACAAGACAGCTGTTCTCACCAGTGAGACTGCCATGAGCCCTTTTTCTTTAATCTTCACCTTCCTCACCAGCAGCAATAGAAGAAAAACAACTTCTCAGTTCACGATTTATAGGATAGCTACAAACTGTCCTGCACCATGATTTACTAGCCAGGTGCCTATGCCACGATTACAGGATGGCATATTTAGTACCAAAGGGATGCAGTAAGATTGCAAACCGCCAGGGCAGGGAAATGCTTTCTTCTGGAGGAGAAATAAGGTTCGGTGACATTTCAAAGTCAGTTGAGTTCACGCTGAGAAGGAGAGCTGTAGCAAAGCCAGCCAGGAACTGGAGGGAGGGATGTCAGCTGCCCAATAACTCAAGCAGAAAAACCCCCAATTGCTGGGAAGTGTTATCTGTGCAAGCTGGGTGCTGGGCTGCACTTGGCAACCTGCTCTCCAACAGCCATGACCTGTTTTATTCTAAATATTTGCTTGCACTTTTAGCTGTGTGCTTGGCCTGACAGACACAGCAGTGCTATACCATCCTCTTCGTTAACCACAATCCACGGCTGGTATGACCGATTCCCTCTGATATTACTTTTGACACGCTCTTGACCTGCTGAGCAGAAAGTGGAGCCCTGGGAAAACAGAGGGAGGTCTCTCTCTCAGCTCCGTGCTGCTCCGAGAGCTTCAGTCCTTAGGGAGAGGAATCCCCACTGCTGTGTGTTTGCTTAGATTCCTGGCCTCTTCCACTTGCAGCGGCGTGCAGTAATCCTCCAGGAAGATGGTCGCCAGGTTGCTCAGCCTTCGGCTGGCTGAGAGGGAGAAGCGGAGCATGCACTCCACCACGGGGAGAGCTGTGGTCTGCTGGCGCGACTGGGGCGTCGTCAGGTACATCAGCGTCGTGACTGCCGACATGACCGTCTCCTCGTTGGAGCTGGAGAGGCAGTTGATGATGGGCTCTACCCCGTTTGCCTCCAAGATGTAGTCTTTGTTAGTTTTATCCAGGCACAGGTTACAAAGACCACCTGGAACAGCAAAAAAAACCCCAAATAACACACACAAGACAAACTCCCATCTTCCACACCCTCATCTTCTTCATACTAAGATTCAAATTCACTGCTGATCTCTTTTTTTTTTTTCCTAATACAGAAATAAGCATACAGGTTTTCTTGAGATTTGGATGGAAAATCCTCAAAGGCTTCCTGGGCAACATTTTCTTGATTGTTTCCAGAGATTTTTCCACTAGAACATTCCTCCTCCTGTATGTCATTAGAGGGCACTGTTACTGCTGGACATAACCTCTTCTACAGAAGGAAGAATTCCGCTATCACGTAACCCAGACAGAGGTTACAAGCCTGCAGTTTATTGCAGGTTTTTAGAAATGCAAGGAACAACACTAACAGTACTACCCAAGAGGTGCAGAACGTCTGAACTTGAAACTTTAATGTGCAGCCATGACCCTCCTGTAGCTCAGCCACAGAAACCAAATATAATTTCATGGAATCACTCGGAATTAGGATCTGGGCCCTTAGCTTATGTTCAGGCCATGCTGAATCCCCATAAAGCAGCTCCTCGGAGGACTTCCTAAAAAAATTGAAGTAAGCATTCTAGAAAAGCGGCTGCCCATAGCAAGGAGACAACATGAGATCTGTCCGTTACACGCGGCAAAATTTATGTGTTAATGACGGATGGTTTACAGGAGAGATTTCATTAAAAAGTCACTGAGCTGGCATTTGCTGACGGTCTGAGGGCAAAAACATCCTTTCTAGAAAGCCCCTTCTTTAGGC